AATAAACATAGTGAACAAAAAAGAGGAAAAAATAGAATGGTTATTGATTATAAAAATTTAAATGCAAAAACTAAAACATATAATTACCCAATACCAATAAAATATTAAAGATAAGACAAATACAAGGATATAATTACTTTAGTAAATTTGACTGCAAATCAGGATTTTAACACTTAAAGCTAGAAGAAGAATCTAAAAAACTTACAGCATTTACAGTACCACAAGGATTTTATGAATGGAATGTATTACCATTTGGATATAAAAATGCACCAGGTAGATATCAACACTTTATGGATAACTAGTTTAAACAACTAGAAAATTGTATAGTATATATTGATGATATATTATTATATACTAAAACACAAGATGAACGTATAAGGTTATTAGAAAAATTTATACATATCATAGAATATTCAGGTATAAACCTAAGTAAAAAGAAAGCAGATATAATGAAAAAGCAAATAGAATTCTTAGGAATACAAATAGATAAAAATGGAATAAAAATGCAAACACATATAGTACAAAAAATAATTAACTCAAATGAACAAATAGATACGAAAAAGAAATTACAATCATTTCTGAGACTAGTAAACCAAGTAAGAGAATACATACCAAAATTAACAGAGAATTTAAAACCATTACAACAAAAATAAAAGAAAGACATAAAATACCTGATAAAAAAGACAAAACACAAATACAAAAAGTAAAACTATTATATAAGAACCAACCTAAACTATATTTTTCGGATGAAACCAAAAAATTTACTTGTATAGTAGAATCAGACGCCAGTGAAAAAAGTTATGGAGAAATCTTAAAATACGAGTATGATGGAGAAAAAATAGAACATCATTGTAGAAATTATTCAGGAACATTTACTAATACAGAAATAAAATGGGAAATAAACAGGAAAGAATTATATTCAGTATATAAATGTTTATTATCATTTGAACCATATATTGTGTATAACAAATTTATTATAAGGACAGATAACACACAAATAAAGTGTTGGCAAACAAGAAAAATACAGGATTCAGTAACTACAAAAGAAATAAGAAGATTGGTATTAAATATATTAAATTTTACAAGTACTATTGAAGTAATAAAAATTGACAAGAATGTTATTGCAGATTACTTATCAAGACAAAGCTACTCAAACTGAAAAAGAAAATACTATTGAAGAGATACTCAAAGCCATTACTACACTTTGCATCAAAGTGGACATCATAGACAATGAGATACAAAAGCTAAAGACAAATGAATATAATTTGAAGTCTAAAGCTAGTACAAGTCAGCAACATGACTATAAAAATGCGGAGCTAAGTCGATCGGAAGACTTTAAAAATCCAGAGCTAAGAGGTGACTTTGGGAAACACCTTAAAACCCATAATATTTGTTTCAATACAGCTGCAGGTATGAAGAAACTAGTTAATGAAAAACAACAAAATGCAAATTTAAATCAGTTATTTGAAAAACTATTTACACAAAAAGCAAAAAACCTATTAACCATAGAACCACAAACTTCAACGCATGCAGATAGCCTACAACATGAGAAAAAGGTATATAACCACATCACGAGGACACACATCAAAAATATATACAAAATACAGAGTTACATAAACCTCAATCCCAGATCTACCACTACAAAATATCCAAACCAAGACTACATAACCCAGAAATTACAAGAATACAACAAACTAATTGCACTGCCAAAAATCAATTCTAACCTAGTTAAAACATGTTATAATTATGGATTAATAAGTACTGCATATACCTACGACGGAGAAGAACTAAGCGGTATACCAGAATTATACAAAACATTTATTATATATAAAAGAGTAACCAAATGAAATTTATTCTATGTAAAATTCTATACGGCGACAACAGAAATACTACATGAAGAGATAAAACCTTCGATCCAAGTTGTGAAGATAGGCCTGACCAAAGATATGATAATACCAGAAGATATTGGAGAACAACCAGAAATACAAATAATTGAGATACCTAATTTTTATGCCAATAAAAGAATAATTGGTATATCAATTATAATACAAGAACTAGCCAACAATTATTTGAATGAAAATGCTATATGGAGTTACTATTTCAGAGATCAATTAATGATTTATGCCAACTCAAGGGAACTAAGGAAATCAGAAATGGATTTTATCATTATTAAAACCAGAAGAAAGACATACAACAAGAGCATTAAAAGCAGGATTTATTTCGTCAGAACTTTTAACCAGATATTGTAAGCTAATTGGACACAAATATCCTGACCATATATGTTCATAATGTAATGGAGAAGACAATGTGATTCCCGATGTCCAGTTAGAATAAAGTCTAAAGAGATAAGAAGATAAGGCAAAGAAGACAAAGAAGATGGAGACAAAGAAGATAGAGACAACTAAAGAGTTAAGGCAAAGAAGACATATTTAGCCAAAAAAGCCAAAATCAAATAGTATAAAGTAAATAGTACTATGTAAAAAAGTCATAAAGTAAATAGTACTATATAAAAAAGTCATGAAGTAGGTGCATTATAGGTGCATTATTGTGCATTATTGTAGAGTAAGTAGTATAGTACATGCATTATTGTGCATTATTGTAGTATAGTACGTGCATTATTGTGCATTACTGTAAAATAGTCACAGGATAGAAATTCCTTTCTATATAAATGAATGTACAAGTAACATAATAAGCAAGTCTTCAATAAATGAAGCAAGCTTTCATAAAAACACTCTCCCAAATATTTAAAATATTCATACATAATAGATAATGGAGCAACATTCAGATATCATGGATAGGCAAGAGGAAAATGTATATTGTTCAACAAGCATACATAACTAATTTCATATATTCCTGAATATCATATATATGATTGAATAAATTTATGTTAGTTATTATGTATTAGAATTATTTGAATCATGATTTCTAGTTTATTAGCACACTGGAAACATGGAGAAAACATCTATACTATGTCATCCTAATGTTGAGACAGGTAGGCGAAGCAAGCCGTTAGGGGAGAAAACAAAGTTGAGGCTTTGATAAGAAGAAAGTATCCGCTAAAGTACGATGCCAGTAGTGACATGAGAACATGATAAACAAATAATCTAGTTCATAATAATCTAATATGAATTTAATCAATTATGAATATGATAGGAAGGAATAATTGAAAATAAAAACCTGCATGATAAAGAACATGACTAAATACATGCATGATAAAATAATAAAAAACTATGAAACTTTAATCCTATATATACTTAAAGGTATAGAGATAATTGAATTAAGAAGAATCATATGGAAAAAATATTTAATGATAACGAATCAGAAGATATATTAAACCAACAATGGTATGAAATAGACCTACATGATTTATATCTCGAAAGAATAGAATGGTATGATTTAGAAATAAATTCGGATTGAATTGAATTACGAATATTTACAATATTGGACAGAAGCTATGAAAAACATAAAACTATTAGAACAATTAATGAAAAATAGTTTATATATGTACCTAAGAATCCAAGATATGTTATATCTAGAATATATCATAAATAAAGACTAAGACACTTAGCAAAAAAATATTATAATAAAATCTTTAAGATGGATTCCTCACCTACCAAAAATGGTACACCTATAAAAAATGTCATGAATTCCCCACCTACCACACTACCAAAAATTTCATGAATTTCTCACCTACCAATATGATGAATTCCACAATGAAAAATGGTATCAGAGCCATTGTTACATCAATGGAAATCACTCGGAAAATTTCCTAACTCCGCCTCATTACTTTTTTGATTTTTTGAAATTGTGAAATATTTGATTATTTTACTAGACCATAATATTTGATGTATAGTTTTATGTCTTGAAAGATAAGTAACTAGTATTGAGGGTAAACTTGATTTTTTTTAATTTTTTCTTGATATTTTAAAAGAAAAAATCAATTTTTAGAAAACTGAACAAGTAAAGTTAAGTGAATGGAGGGAATATTAAATAATTAATAACTATGGTCACATTATCATGCATTGAATTCTGCTTGTTCACTAATTCACACAAATATTCATCACATATGAAGATTGACATTTTATTTCTCGAAGTCACTATTCGATCACAAGCTTTCAATCACAAGTTAAATAACTATAATATAAACATCTTTCAATGGACTCCTGTTGTTGGGATGGGACACAGGGAATTTAACAAGTTAAATTAAAGGATAAATAAAGAAGAAGGGTATTTTCGATATGGAGGGAAAAAATTATTTTATGGTATAATTTAATTTTTTTTTCTACTTGACGGATAATTCAAATTCATAACGTATGTAATAGTTAGCAAATAGTGAAAAATGATCTTATAATTTAGTTTAGGTGTGGTGGTTGTTAGTTTAAAAATTCAGTTTAGTAAATTAGAGTTTTGTTATACGTTAGGTTTGTCCTAGTCTTTAGGAAATAATTTTAAACGTGGGCAACTATCTTGTTTTAGGAGTGTAGTTCCTAATTTTTAGCTTCAGGTTAGTTTGCTTATAAAGGATTGTAATTGCAGCTTTCAATTATTCAGTCAAAAAAATCCTTCGATTATATTGCCTTCTCTCTTCTCTATCGTCTTTCAACTTACATATATATATTTCTTGATACTGCTTTATTTATTAGTGGTATCAGAGCCGAGTGAGATCCAAAAATAAAAAAAAAACATAAAAAAATATTGCTAGTTTATGGCTTCAGAGAGCAATTACGTTCAAGCAGCTATACCGCATTTTTGATGGTCACTATGACCATTGGAGTATGCTGATGGAGAACTTCTTACGGTCAATGGAGTGTTGGCCAATTGTCGAGGATGGACTCGGAGCTCCGGCAGACGGCGAAGCCTTAATGAATGCTCAAAAGGCGGAGTTCGAAGCAAGAATGTTGAAAGATTTGAAGGCAAAGAATTATCTCTTTCAGGCTATCGATCGTCCCATCCTAGAAACTATTCTTTGCAAAGAAACTTCTAAGGATATTTGGGATTCGATGAAGACAAAATATCAAGGTACTGCTAGAGTAAAGCGTGCACAACTTCAAGCCTTGATAAGGGATTTCGAGATGTTGCAGATGAAGGAAGGAGAGTCTGTAATGAGTTACTGCGCTAGAACAATGGAGATTAGCAACAAAATGCGATTTCATGGTGAAAAGATGACTGATGTCACAATTGTGGAAAAGATATTGCGCTCCCTGACGCCGAAGTATGACTATGTCGTTTCCTCCATTGAGGAGTCAAAAGATATAGACGAGTTATCGCTTGATGAATTGAAACGTTCCTTATTGGTACATGAGCAAAAAATGAACCGCAGTTCATCTTCCGAAGAGCAGGCTTTGAAGGCTTCTACTAATACTCGTTTCTCAAATTTTAGAGGAAGGGGTAGGGGTAGAGGTAGAGGAAGAGGAAGGGGAGATCGAGGATATAGAGATGAAGGCAGCAAAGACGGCAGTAGGAATTTTAGAGCCAATGATGACCACGGTAAAGGCAGAGGAAGGAATTTTGACAAATCAATAGTAGAATGTTATCGATGTCATAAATTTGGTCATTATAAGTCTAAAGGTTATACCAGGCTGCCTAATGACAGGGATGAAAAGTCAAATTTTGTTGAAAGTAACGAAAGTGAGACATTGTTGATGGCAGTCCAAGTAGAGAAGGAACCTGACTAAAACGTTTGGTATTTGGATACAGGCTGCATCAATCACATGTGTGGAAGTAAGTATTCTTTTTCTTCTTTGAATGAAGACTTTCGTTCAACAATTAGTTTTGGTGATTCATCCACTGTGAGTGCAATTGGAAAGGGAGATATTATGATCAGACATCTCAAACTCAACCATCGTAGACTTCTTAAATTCAGCAAACATGGCACTATCATTCCTAGTATGTATAAGATCATCAACATATAAGCATACAATAAGCATTTTCGCATCATCCCCAATCTTCACAAAAAGTGTATGCTCATATGGACACTTTTGAAAACCCATTTTTAGAAAATAAGCCTCAATGCGACTATACCAATCTCGGGGGGCTTGTTTTATTCCATAAAGGGTCTTCTTTAAGCGATAAACTTTATGCTCATTTCCAATCTTAACATAACCAGGAGGTTGTTCGATAAATACCTCTTCCTCCAAATATCCGTGTAGAAAAGTTGATTTGACATCCAACTGGAAGATAGGCCATGAATTTTGTTTCGCCAATGCAATTACCATTCTAATGGTGTCATTCCTTGCAATTGGAGCATAAACTTCAGTGTAGTCCACACCGTACTCCTGCGTGTATCCCTTAGCCACCAATCGCGCCTTACATTTGTCAATTTCACCATTTCCCTTCATTTTCGTCTTGTAGACCCACTTGACGCCAATGGTTTTCTGCTTCTCAGGAAGATCAATAAGCTCCCAAGTATCGTTCCTTTCAATAGCTTCAATTTCAGCATGTATCGTCTTTTTCCATTTTTCTTCCCTAACAGCACTATTAAAAACTGTATTGTCGCAGTCCGCAAACAATGCAAAATGAGTAATTGCATCATCATTTACCTTAATTCTTGTTACCTCATAGTCCAACATTCATGTAGGCCTTTTTCGAGTACGCCGATGTGACTGAGCTGCTGAATCAGTTTCTTCCAAAGCTGCTGGAAAATTTCTACCAGTTGGTGTAATTTCAGCTGTTGGAGATATTTCAGCGGTTGTAGGAGCATAATCCTCTGAATTTCCAAGTATCAAGGCTTGTTGTTCGACTTCATTCTCAAATAGGACTGGGGTAGACTGTTGCATATTCCAATCCCAAGTAGTTTCTTCATTAAAAACAACATCTCGGCTGATCACAATCTTTTCTGTTTGTGGATTGAATAATTTATAGGCCTTGGAAGTTTCACTAACACCAAGAAATACACATTTCTCACTTTTATCATCGAGCTTCTTCCTTTTCTCATCTGGGACATGTGCATACGCAATGCACCCAAAAATTCGAAAGTGATCTACAACGGGCCTTCTTCCACTCCACGCCTCCTCTGGAGTCATGTTCTTAACAAAACTGTAGGGCTTCTGTTCAAGACGTGAATACTCCAAGTTATCGCTTCTTGCCAAAAACTCTTTTTCAGTCATCCTTTTGCCAGCAAACTCCGAACCATATTGATGATGGTTTTGTTTTTTCTCTCTGATACACCATTTTGTTATGGAGTATAAGCTGTTGTAAGCTCTTTCTAATGCCATCAGATTCACAAAAATCATCAAAAACTTTAGAGCAATACTCGCCACCACGATCTTTCCGAAGAGTCTTGATTTTCTTTCCCATCTCGTTTTCTACATGAACCTTGAAGCTTTTAAATGCTTTAAAAGCCTCAGATTTTTCATGTAAAAAATAAATCAAAGTTTTTCAAGAAAAATCATCAGTAAACGTAAAAAAGTATCGTTTACCTCCATTAGAAGCTGGTTTGATTGGGCCATAAATGTCTGAATGTATCAGCTCCAAAACATCATTGGCTCTCCACGACTTTCCTTTTGGAAATTGAGAACGATATTGTTTGCCAACAACACATTCCTCACAAACTTGCGGTGGAATTGTAATTTTAGGAAGACCTATCACCATATTTTTTTGTTGGAGAACTTTTAATCCGCCAAAACCCAAATGACCATAACTAAAATGCCACAACCATGACGGATCTCTAACTTCTGCTTTTAAACAACGGTGAATATTCTCTATCTTTAGTGGGAACAACCTGTTTGAACTCATTTTCACAACAGCAATAGCTCCTCTAGTAGGATTATAAATCTAACATGCACCTTTCTCAATAGTTATAACATATCCTTTTTCTTGCAATTGACCAACACTTAGCAAATTGCTTTTCAAAGCAAGAACATATAGCACATTTGAGATCGTTTCTTCAAAACCATTCTTGGTTCTAATCATAATATCTCCCTTTCCAAATGCACTCACAGTGGAAGAATCACCAAAACTAATTGTTGAATAAAAGTCTTCATTCAAAGAAGAAAAATAATTCTTACTTCCACACATGTGATTGCTGCAGCCTGTATCCAAATACCAAACGTTTTGTTCAACTTCCTTCTCTACTTGGACTGCCATCAACAATGTCTCAACTTTGTTACTTTCAACAAAATTTGAGTTGTCATCATTGTCATTAGGCAACCTGGTATAACATTCAGACTTATAATGACCAAATTTATGACATCGATAACATTATACTTTTGATTTGTCAAAATTCATTCCTCTGCCTTTACCGTGGTCATCATTGGCTCTGAAATTCCTACTGTCGTCTTAGCTGCCTTCATCTCTATATCCTCGATCTCCCCTTCCTCTTCCTCTTCCTCTTCCTCTACCCCTACTCCTTCCTCTAAAATTTGAGAAATGAGTATTAGTAGATGCCTTCAAAGCCTGCTCTTCGGAGATTAACTGCGGTTCATTTTTTGCTCATGTACCAATAAGGAACTTTGCAATTCGTCAAGCGATAACTCGTCTATATCTTTTGACTCCTCAATGGAGCAAACGACATAGTCATACTTTGGCGTCAGGGAGCGCAATATCTTTTCCACAATTGTGACATCAGTCATCTTTTCACCATGAAATCGCATTTTGTTGCTAATCTCCATTGTTCTAGCGCAGTAATTCATTACAGACTCTCCTTCCTTCATCTGCAACGTCTCGAAATCCCTTCTCAAGGCTTGAAGTTGTGCACGCTTCACTCTAGCAGTACCTTGATATTTTTTCTTCATCAAATCCCAAATATCCTTAGAAGTTTCTTTGCAAAGAATAGTTTCTAGAACAGGACGATCCATAGCCTGAAAGAGATAATTCTCTGCCTTCAAATCTTTCAACTTTCTTGCTTCGAACTCTGCCTTTTGAGCATTCGTTAAGGCTCCGCCTTTCGCCGGAGCTCCGAGTCCATCCTCGACAATTGGTCAATACTCCGTTAACGTAAGAATTTCTCCATCAGTATACTCCAATGCTCATAAAGACCATTAAAACGCAGAATAGCTGGTTGAACGTAATTGCTCTCTGAAGCCATAAACTAGCAATATTTATCTGTTTTTTTTTCCTTTTTGGATCTCACTCGGCTCTGATACCACTGATAGATAAAACAGTATCAAGAAATATATATTTGTATGTTGAAAGACGATAGAGAAGAGAGAAGGCAATATAATCGAAGGAATTTTTTTGACTGAATAATTGAAAGCTGCAATTACAATTCTTTATAAGCAAAACAACATGAAACTAAAAATTAGAAACTACACTCCTAAAACTAGATAGTTGCCCAAGTTTAAAATTACTTCCTAAAGACTAGGACAAACCTAAAGTATAACAAAACTCTAATTTACTAAACTGAATTTTTAAACTAACAACCACCACACCTAAACTAAATTATAAGATCAATTTTCACTATTTGCTAACTATTATATATATTATGAATTTGAATTACCCATCAAGTAGAAAAAAAATTAAACTATACCATAAAATAGTTTTTTTCCTACATATCGAAAATACCCTTCTTCTTTATTTATCCTTTAATTTAACTTGTTAATTCTCCTGTGCCCCATCCCAACAACAGTAGTCCATTGGAAGATGTTTATATTATAGTTATTTAACTTGTGATTGAAAGTTTGTGATCGAACAGTGTGTTCGAGAATAAAATATCAATCTTCATATGTGATGAATGTTTGTGTGAATTAGTGAACAAGCAGAATTCAATGCATGATAATGTGACCATAGTTATTAATTATTTAATATTCCCTCCTTTCTCTTAAATTTACTTGTTCAGTATTCTAAAAATAGATTTTTTCTTTTAAAATATTAAGAATTTTTTAAAAAAAAATCATGTTTGACCATCAATACTAGTTACTTATCTTTCAAGACATAAAACTATACAGCAAATTTTATGGTCTATAATAAAATAATAATATTAATCACAATTTCAAAGAATCAAAAAAAGTAATGAAGACGGAGATAAAAAATTTTCCGAGTGATTTCCATTGATGTAACAATGACTCTAATATCATTTTTCGTTGTTACATCAATGGAAATGGTATCAGAGCCATTGTTGAAAAGAACTATAAGAAGAAATATACTAGTAGAAAGTTAAGAAAAATAATAAGAAAATTAAACAAATTATATCCAGAATACAAATAACTCAATATCACAAAAACTGATAACGACAAATTAGATCAATTAATAGATAGTATATATAAAATAGAATATAAATATATTCAATATTTAAAAATATAATGAAAAACGAGAATAAAATAAATAAATAAAATAAAAATAGAGAATCAATTTGAAAGAATAGTCACAGTCATAGATAATAATGACTATAGTTATAATGAGATTGACATAGAAGAAGATTTAGAAATAGTAAAAGAAAGGTTAAGCACATCAAAAACAATAAACACAAACTATGAAATTCCACAAATATCATAAAAAAATGAGTATCTCAAGAAGAATAGATAAAACTCCATAAAAACCAATGGAAGAAGAAATAAAACCATATCATTACCACATAACGGGAGTAATGGAACAACGAAAATACTTAGTATTAGTAAATACAGGACAAGAAGAAAACTACATTACTAGAGAATTAGTAACAGAAGATGAAATAATAACCACTGAACAATTGTGCCCCGAACTACCAAAAGCATTAATAAATATCGAATAAACAACAAAA